GATGCAGCCTTTGACGCAACGGCACCAGCAAGACAGGAATCTGGGCACTAAAACCCTGCTGACTGGATGCTGCTGGCCACAGGGCCCCGGAAAGGGGAGGGAAGGCAGGCAGGAACCCTGAGGACACCAGATCAGTCCGCGTGCTTGTCTAACAGCGAGGGCGCACAAGCTGAGCTCCGAGCTGGAGCGGGCGCGAGCCCGTCTTGTCCTAGGCTGCAAACTTGCTGAGCCTCTGCAGAGCACTGTCCGTTCCAGCTGAGCAGGAAGGATAAACATTTTCATACCCAGAGTGTAGCATGACTACCACTTTCTGCCATGGGTGCAGCTGCTAAAGACTAGCAGCGTGAGCAGTTATGCAGGTGAACTTGTGTTTAATTGCATTCCCCAGCCCTGCATGAGCTAAGCAAGTCCATACGGGAAGACTTGAGTCTGCTCACAGCGGTGCAATAAATAGACCGTTACAATAAGCATTAGATTGGATTTACCCGAGATGCTGTCGGAGTCAAGCCCAATAAACACCCCACAGCCTTCTCTCTGCCGGCTCAACACACATGCACTCAATATGCTACCGAGCCCTTCCTCTCAACTGGAGACCAGCTGTGACCCTAAACTCTCGACTGGCGACAAAAGGCTCGGATGTAAGTCGCATCTGGGGGTTTTGAAAACACTCAACCTGCAGCTTTACACACCTAGCAAACGAGACTCTCCGAACACGGCCTCAGGCTTGGGGCCCAAGAGAGGAGGCTCACCACGCTTTGGGGAAAGGCACTTGACAGCAAATACAAAAGCATTCGGTTTTACTAACACATCTCTAGCAAAGGCCAACTCTGCCCTGCCAGCGCGCACCGGGCAGGCCGAACGCTTCAGTAACGGAGAACCAAGTGTTTGCTGAGGAGTACGAGTCATCACCTCTCCAGCTTCCTGCTGCGTGCATGGACAGAGCGTAGCTGGGAAACACTGGACAGGAACACGCTGGCTACTCAGTACTGCTACAGTTCTATGCAATTATTCCACTTTTGTGCTAGTGACTCCGAACCGGTTACAGAACAGCTGACTAGTGCACGGCTGAGCAGCTGATCCGGCCAGACCAGAGGCCGTGGGGCAGTGAAATGAGTCAGCAGCATGCTCATCTCCTGGAGGCGGAGGGCATTTTCACCTGCTAAGCTGTTAACATCTTGCCTTCACAGAGGAACCCAGAGGACTGCCCTGCCTAAAATCCAGGCAGGGGCAGGGCAGGTAAGCTGTAAGGGAGGGGGAAATGTTGCTAGGAAGTCACAGGGAGCATCAGGAACTCGAGTTTCACACCCAAGTTGTTTAATCGAGTGAGACACTAACATCAGAAAGGACCACAGGCTATTGAAATCAATGGTCTGTTGGAGACAAGTCAAACTCGATGGACTTCCCTCAATTAACTCCTGCCCCAACCCCAGCCGCTGGGCTTGAACTCAAGTGTCTCTTACGGAAACACCCACACTTGATTTTAAAGTTTCCGATGACTGAGAATCCCCTACTGGCCTTGGTGGGTTTTGCTAATGGGTAATTACCCTCGTTGCTAGATTTGCACCTTATTTCTACTCTGTCTAGCCTGAGCTTGTAGCAATGGGAGCTGGTCAGAGGTTTCATCTGAAGCGGGCCCACAAAAACCCATGGATACCAGCTACGTTTTTTGCTAGTCTCTAAGGTGCTGCCGGACTATTTGTTATTTTTAAAGTTTCAGTTACAGTCGTGTAACACTAATTTTGCAGTTATCTGCTGGATCTGTAAATCCTATTTCTGTCCATGTTCCATACTTGTCTGTGAGGCTAGAAATATGAAGTTTTAAATGTGCTCATGAGCCATTCTGGTGCCCAGGAAGCCTAATGGCTCAGTGATCCACTCAAGGACTTGTAAACAGCCGTGTGTCCTGTGAGCAGGGCTGGCCCGAGCCAGCAATACGTTTCTCAGTGGCTCAGAACTACCGGTGCGTTTTCTCTCATTGTAATGTAGTAACTCACTCTGACCTGTTCTCTTGCAACCACTTAAATCCTACGGCCTGTACTTAATACAAACACTTTTGTTGACCCTCTGGCCCAATGTAAATAATTGTGGGGTTTTTGGGGGGGGCGGGGAGGAGCAACCACTGTGCTTCTGTCATTGATAAAGGGAGCTCACCCGATGAGCTTTCACTGTGCAGAACGTTTACAGACAGAACAAGGGATTTGCAGGGATTGGTCTCTGGGGTGCGGAGTCCTCCCAGAGCTGGAGCGGTCCAGGTCTGCGCGGCTCTGCAGGAGGGCAGTTACCCCACCTCTGTGCCTTGCCGGGGGCAGAGCAGAGGATCTGGCCCAGCAGGACAGAGCGGTGGGGCGCATCAGTGGCAGGATCAGCACACTGGGACACAATCCCAGGAGTCTTCTGGGCTCACTCCCCATCACGTTTATTTCTAGCAACAGAGACGTGGAAGAAGAACGTGGTGCTGGGAATTTCAGAGGGCAAATGTGAACTCTTCCCAGGGGAGCTTTGGGGAAGCTCTCATTACATTTCTCCCCACGAAACTGACCAGACCTCTCTCCGGTCACAACCACCTCTCCCCTCCTCTGACCTTTGGCTCCTGGCTACACCTCACTCACAACGGGGCTCAGCAAGCGAGACTGTACTGGGCCCTTCCCAATGCAAAGCGGGGGCACCCTTAGTGCTCTCTCGCCATTCTGAAGAGGGACCATGTATTCCCCCCGTTGCCTCCTACCCTTTACCTGGAGTGCCCTGGCAATGCTTTCAGAATCACTCAGCTCCTCACGCCGGCGAGGAGCCTCGGGTTCCCATAGTCACTCTGCCCGTTTCGAAACGGGCTCCCCGCCCTGGGCAGAAGCGGTTCCTAGCACAGAACTCACCAGGCCACACTTGCGCTCTGGCTCGTGGGTGCTACCCAGCACCCTTATTTTTTTCCTGGGGGCCTGAGCCCTGGAGCCAGCTTGGAGTTGATGCTTGCTCCTGGCTCAATCATCCTCTTCCCTTTTGCTGGGGAGCCATGCTGCTCTGCACCCTAGTGCGGAGAATGGGAAGCCGGCAGCATCTCCAGAACTCTGCTCATGCACGCCCCCTCGTGGCGCACAAGGGCACTCCGGGCACAGGGCACGTTCACTCTGTCCCTGCACGACAGCGTCACAGGAGCCTTCCTCTTTCGACACTCGGGGACGGCCCCAGGCTACATGCTGCATTTGACCCAAGAGGTAGCCACAGGGGTGAGCACTGCATGCTGGGATTCCTCTGGCCTGCCGCTAGCTAGGAGCGAACTACTGTTTTGCAAATAAGCTCTGCCCAACTGCTAGTCACTGGTAGCAGCCCCGCCCACCTCAGGCTCCGTTACGCCAGCCGGGCTCCCGGCTGGGAGATGACCGGGCACTCTCCAAGAGACGCCATGGGAGCTGCTGCTTTTCTAACCAGGCAAGATGCCAGTTTCTGTTGCTAAGCCAAGGTGGAGGAGAGCATCTCAGGGTCCCAGGTTGCCACGGAGAGAGACAAGCTTCGGAGCACCCTCTGGACAAGCATACGCACCAGCAAGAAGTTGGTGTCTGCGCATGCACGCACGCAACAGGGGGGACACAAATGCAGCTTGGAAGCAACAAAGGACTGGCAGAGCGGGCAAGGGATCCCGGCTGGCTGCTGCGAGCTCTGCATGCCCTCCGCGAGGAGGCCACCTGTGCGGCAGGGATGCTGGGGACGTACTGCACTGCGCCTGGGTGTGGAGCTGCCAGGAGACAGCAACCTTCCACTGGGTTAGGCAGCTGACTAGTTTTCCAGGAAACGCGGGATAAAACTTAACTGGCGCCTCAGGGCCGCGGCTTCAGCCTCCACCAGACTCAGAACAGGTGCCATTGCTGACAGTCAGCAGCTGCAACTTGCATGTCTGAGGAGACCGGTAAAGACTCCTCTGCGAGGGAGCAACACTCCCCAGCAGGCTACAAACTTGCTGCAAAGTCCTGTGCCTGGGCAGCGCGTGGCCATCTGCATCACAGACCTCGCAGCGGGATTTGCATCCAGAGTCACGTTGGACCAATCGCTTGCTCTGGCCTTCTGGCAACAGAGACTCAGCAGCCCCCCAGCATGGAGCAGAGCAGAGGGCAGGCGGAGTATGTTGCATCACCCCTCTGCTTACTGGAGAGGCCAGGGAGAGCTACTTTTCCTCCTCACCCGGCAATGAAGAAAGCTGCATTTCATACAGCAGGGGCCTCCTCCCCAGGCACACAGAACCCAGAGAAAGCAGGGTCTCCCCTCCTGCACAGGTGAGCGCACTACGGCAGCGAGCTGCAGGAGCACGGTGCAGCAATGAAATCCAAGGGGTTCTCGGAAGGCAGCGGGGAAGAGGGGTCCTGCCTGCTCTGTTCAGCAAGCGAGCTCAAGGCTGGAGCTGCACTGGACAGCATCCTCCCCGTTCGTAAGCCACAGCAGAGCAGCCCGTAGGATCGCGAGTGGCGGGGGCCTTCTGGGACATTTGCTCTCACTGGTCTTGACCAAATCTCCGGGGTGGGGGTGGGGGTGGGGGAAGGGATCACAAAATTCTGACAAACGATTTACCTCACCCGGCTGGGACGGGCAAGCGTTCCTAAGGGATCTCAACGCCCGTTCCCCGTTAAACGAATGGGCGTTGGATCTTTCAGTCCTTCCCGTGGCTCGGCTGACGTTTCTTCACTGGCACTGCAGGACTGCAAAAGCAATCCTGCCATGGGGCAGGAAAGCCAGCTGCTGCTGCATGGACTGCAGACCCAATGGGAACAGGGTACCCACTCAACCTCACAGGCAGAAGGGCAGGCTAGTCTCTGCACAGGGGTGATCAACCGTGCTCTGGCACAGCCCCCAGAAGAGCAGCAGCGGGGGCAGGATCACACGCTCTGTGCCCAACCGAAGGAGACAAACCGCGTGCGACAGTGACGGGCTGGCCGCAGACAGCGCTGTCAGAGCAGCAGGGCAGCACCCATCCGGTGACGTGAGCACCACACGGGCAGGGACGGTGTAAGAACACCGAGACCGGAACAGCCTGACGGAAGAGCTGCGCGCAGAGAGTGAGGAGGGAGGGCAGCTCTCTGTTCCCAGCAGCCCCTGCGGCCGGCGCGGAGCTGGACTCAAGGGAAGGCAGCACAGCCGAACTCGGCCTAAGCTTGCCGGGCTGGGCATTGTCACCCCACGGTCTGCGAGGAGCGACAGCGACGCCCCAGCTGCTCCTCCCACTGGGTGATGCTGCTGAGGCCCTGGGACTCTGGCAGACGTCAGAGCGAAGAGCACCGCTTTATCCCGCCCCTGCTGCCCTACTCACTGCTTCATGGCGACCAGCTTGGAATCCATGCTCTCCTGCTTCCCCTTCATCAGCTGCACGTCAGTCAGCAGCTTGGTTACGTTGTCTTGACGGACCTTGATGTCCTCGTTCTTTATACTGGACACCTGGAGACCGGAAGGAAGCGGCCAGTGAGGTTCCACCCTACAGAACAGCTCTGAGCGCCCAGAGGCCAGTGCCGATGGGTTCTCCCCCTTCCCCAATTCCCACCGGGCTGAGCACCAATCTCCCACCCCATCCACCAGACCCTCCCCTCCCTGAAGGAGCAGGATCCTCTAGGCCAGACACGCCAAATCAAAGGATGCCCTGGAATCCCGCCGGCATTTCCGATCCAATGTAAAGTAGGGGTGCTACAAGGTTCAGTGGTTCCAGGCCGGGCGGCAGCCAGCTCCCCTGGGGCCAGTGCATGCCCGCCACGCCACTTGCGGGGAGCCGGAGGCTGCCCTGCGCTGCTGCCTCCAATAGAGTGCTCCCCAGGAGCTGTGCGTAGGCATTTGGGTCACTGCCAAGCAAGAGCAGTCTGGTTACCCGTGGAAACGGCTACAGCCGGCCGTCCCTAGCGCCCAGTCTTGCTCTGTACCATGGCGTATGTACCTTGGGACGTGCCCGTTCCCTGCCACAGTTGAGCCTGGGGCGCTAAGCAGCGAGCCCACAGGAGCGAGAGCAGCTCTGGAGACTCCGTGCGCTTAGGCCAGCCGCTACTGCCGCCCAGCACGGAAACCTCAGCTCACATCTCCACGCCGATGGGCCAGCCAGCTCCAGCGCCAAGCTGGGTTAGAGGCAGCGTCGGAGCGAGCCCTCGCACTGAGGAGACGCGGCGCCGAGAGGCCGGGAAGGCCCAGGGCGCACACGGCGCGGAGCTCTCCGCTCCAATTCTGCCAGTCGGACCAGTCTCGCAGAACCACGGCCGCGGGGCTCGGCCAGAGCAAGCCCAGGGCACAGCCATGGGGGGGGGGGAGCAGCAGGCCGGCTCACTCCCACAGTGAGTGTTTCAACAGCTGCCAGGAAGCTCTGACAACCAGCTGGCGGGGCGTGCCCAGGACAAGCTTTAGCACGGGAGAGCTCAAGGACAGGATTAACACACTTCGCCTGCCCCTTTACTGGCCAGCAGCCCTTTGGGCCCTGCACCTCCCAAGAGGCCACGTGGCGCCGACCAACGGGAGGCCACCACTCAGTGCCGGGGCTGCCCGGGTGGGTTTGGGAAACACACAACTCAAACCTGGCTGGAGGGTCTGAGTGAAGGGAGCAGCCCCCAAGTATCACATGCGTCTATAAAAGCCGCCACCGAGACTCCGAGACTCCCAGCAAGAGACACAGGCCAGAGCCTCAGAGTTACGCGCTGACTGGTCAGCCACACGTCTCGTCTGGACCCAGAAGTACACCGGCGGGCAGCAGCAGAGCCCAGCAAAGCAGCTACAGTGCCACGCCGTGTTACGCAGAACCAGAGTTCACCTGCAAAGTTCCGTGAGAACCACCGTGAGGCTCTGGTCAGTGTCACAGAGCCGCTCCCACGGCGGCCGCAACTCGGGTTCGGCTGCAGGTACCAACACGACGGGCAGGACCCTAAGGCTTCCGAAGGGTTCCTCAAACGCCACCAAGCAGGGATGTGAATGAGTAGCCGACGGGTAGCGCTATCGACCCCTGGATCACCCCCTTGCCCTCCGCGCTCAAAGGGACAGAGACACCGGCTCAGTGTCTGGTCCCTCGCAGGGTCTTGGCACAAGCCCCCCCGACTCTGCCATTCCGCGTTCTGAAAGGGTCAGAGCAGCGGCAACGCGCCCTGGGGATCGCTCAGCACAAGCCCCCCACATTCCCCGTTGCACTCTGCACTCCCAGTGAGACAAAGCCCAGGGCCAGCGGGGGGAGGGCCGTTCTGAGACCCGGCGGGGGCCAGAGACTGGGCTCCTCTGTCCCTTTAAGAGAGCAGAGCGGCTGCGGGGGAACTGTGCTGAGACCCGGAGTGAGCCTTAAAACCCAACGACTAGTCGATGGAAATGCCCTCAACTACTCGGCTAGCAAATTCATCGCTCCTCAACCTCGCTGCACCAATTCCATTTGCACACCTGGCAGCGCCAGGGCAAGCGCAGCCCACAGGCCCCGGCTGGGCCGCGGCTGCCTTCACCTCGAATGCTGACATGACGCGGACGAGCATCCCAGCAAGCACTGCTCTGCTCAGACCGGAGCGCAGCCCTGCACGTGGAGACCTCGCCCCAGCGGGGCCAGGCAGCTACTCGAAATGAAGGCAGCCGCGAGGTGCACGTGAGTCTGCGTTACCCCCGCGCAAGTGGTTGGGACGCTCCGTGGGGGTAGCAGCTGGACCGTAAGTTTCCAGGTGCCAGGAACACCTGTGCTTCTCACTGCTCCTGTTCCTACAAACCTGCATCTCAAGGACAGAAACATGAAGATTCATCTTCACCGGACCTTTAACCATTTTTTCCTCATTCGGCTGAGAAACCCACCAAGTGACTAACTACACTGCTCCTCCCTGTTTTGGAGCCAAGGTCCGGTTGCTCTCTGGGAGAGGGTTTGCCATGAGCTCCGCCAGGCCGAACCAGCGCAGAGCGGAGAAATGGAGATAAAGCTCGAGGTGAAATTGTCCCAGTTTGCTAAGTCAAAGTGAATTTGGCTTCCACATTGCAGGCCAACTTGCCAGTTGGTCCCAGGGTGTCCCAAGCGGCATTACCCCCAAGCCAGATGCTAAGAGACAGCAACGAGAGAGCCCGGCACACTGAATACCTGCCCACCGGCTGGCCAGGCAGCGTGGCACCGAACGGAACGTGACGCAAAGGCACTCGGCAGAGAACAAAAGCGACCATGCCAAAGTCCCCTTCGCACCCCGAGCAGGCTGCTGCCCTTCCCACTGCGACAGCCACCCCAGTGTCGCGGGCGGGCCCGAAGAGCTGCACCGGCACTTACGCTGGTTACTTTCCTCTTGATATTCTCCAGGAGCTGCTCCTGGCCTCGGATGAAGTACGGATGTTGAAATTCAGTGTCGTCCTTCTCGGGCTTCACCAAGCCTCCTTGCTCGATATGTACCACCTTCCGAAAGCCATCTGCAAGTCAGAGGGGACAGTGAGGGGGAGCACACGGCTGCAAGCACAGACCTCAACTGGCTTGCCATGGGCGGCGGCACGCAGCACCCTGCCAGCACCACAGCCTGGGGCCAAGGGGGCACAGGGGCTCCAGAGGCGGTGCCCGGTGTACCGTGGCAAGGGCCGACAGGCTGAGGCTGGCAGAGCCCGGGTGCCGAGCTCTGCCTAGAAGAGAACGCTGACGACTCAGTTGAGGGGGCCTTCGGCGGACTGCCCAGAGCCTGCTGGACTGGAGCACACCAGGACGGAACGCCAGGCGGCAGCAGCAGACCAGATGTAAAATTGCAGTTAAAAAGTGAACCGGGTCAGGGTGATGTTTCCTGCCACATCGCGCCGCGGGCGGGCTGCTCTAGCCAGGCCGGGCGCGGGGTAGCCGGTTACTCCAGTAAGCATGCTGGTAAGGCAACTTACCCAGTAACCGCTTCCTCAGTTAACTCTTTACAGCCCTACTGTAACAGCACAGCATCAGTGAGGGCGACCCTGACTTCCCAGCAGAGAGCTCCCAGATCACATGGGCTTTTGAATTCAACGGAGAGACAGCTTTTGCTCCAACCCTCCTCCCCACCGCAACGACCATCCCCAAGCACACCAGCTCGGCCCTGCGGTCTGACACCGAGCCCTCAACTAGGCCTTCCTGGCATTGCGTGGCTGGCTACAGCGGCGCTAGAGGAGCCGCTGGTAAAAACCCGATGTTGCAGCTCTACGGCCCGGAGGGGAAGGGGGACGTGCTGGAAAGTGCTCTCCGTGCAGCTTCAGCACCAAGGAGGCACTCAGCACTTCAAACACACTTCAAACGGGGAAGAACCACTCCAGAGCATACAAGGCCTCTGCAAAATACTTGGGGGCAGGTCACGAGGATCGATCTCGAGCAGGGCTCTGAAGTGGGACTGAAGTTAGATCACAGCTGGGGTGGAAGAGAGCTCCCTGCACTGCCACAGCACATCCACAATGTAGAGAAATCGTACTTTACTGCAGGCCAGCGGCTGTGTCCCTGGTATTCAAGCAAGCCTTAGAAACCAAAGCCCTCGGCCGTGAACCATGGAGATGACATGCCCCAGAGTTATTCAAAGGACTAGTGTTGAAATGTAATGAAACTGTCATCCTTTCCCACCGGGCGCCGTTGGAAGGCCCACATCTGGAGCATTACAGCTAATCCCTGATAGACTCTCCAGGTGAGGGGTATGAAAGGCATCCTTTATGCTGCTGCCTATCGCAAGAATGTGAAGCCAAAAGGCAAATCTAGACACGTGTGTGCAGAGCGGAAGCGGAGCAGACGGCCCTGAAGCAATGTCTCTAGGATAATCCCGGCATATTTCTGCCTTGCTAGGCTGGCAGAAAGAGTCCAAGTCACCTCGAGAGCTCTCAGTGCTACAGTCTTCTCCCCCACTCGTGCACGCTCTCAGAGTACAGGTAGCCCCAAGAAGCAGCGTGGGCCCCACAAGCGAGCACAGTGTACCCAGGGAGCATGACACGAGCACTACACCGAACAGCCGGATGGCAGGGAACGGGGTAGATGGGTTCCTCTCCTCCATCCCAGAGCAGCAGCTTCTGCTCGGGAGAATTTCATTCAAACTCCACGGGCCCAGGCGGCTTCCCCACAGGTCTCTTACGACGGGCACTTCATGGCTTAAGGGAGAGGACTCACAATGACGGGATTTACTGTGAGATAGCGAGTCCAACTAGCCCGCTCCAATGGGCTACGCAGGTTAGCCACCCAACCGGGATAACTCCACGTTTACCAAGTGGCGCCGTGGGCCAACAGAACCTTCTTTTTCTACTGAAACATTGCCAGGGAGGGGCAAGCACTGAACCCCTCAAGGAAGATATTAGGGCAATAGCTACATTTTTCTGCACCATGCAAACCAAACAAGCAGATTCCAATGGACTCACTGCACACCCTCTCCTAAGCGATACTTCCAATCCACAGACTCGACCAACTCAACTTCCTTCCAGCACTGCACAAGCTGCTCTAGGGACACTCAAATCACGTCTCAGTCCGGGTTTTCCAAACTGCTTCTGACTAAACGAAATCTGAAAACCAAACAGCCACCTACCACAATCCACAAGGCCCTTCCACGAGTCAGTTCCTGGAGTAAGAAGCTATTGTTTGCTCCTGTTGGCAGCTCTGTGGAGAGATTCCAGCAAGGGACTTCCCAGGAACAGCCCAATGTAGATAAAGGCTTCTCCCCCCGGGTTTAGTCCCCACCTGACTTTCCATGATCGGGCTCGTAGGGGATACACCCCACAGCGGAGAGGAACGTGTCTGCATTATGCTACTCTTGGAGTGGGGATGGAAGAGACTAGTCGACTGTCCAACAAGCAGGTGCTGATCAGGTAGTCGGCTAGCGATGCAACTAGTCGCGTCCCCCCACCTTGCTGTGTATCAGAGAGGCAGCAAGGGGGGTGGAGCAGGAGCTGGTGCTGAGGGGAGCTGCCTTAAAAGCCGGTTCCCCCAGCACCATCTCCACGGGGGGCAGGGGAGGAAGAGGCGCAGCAGGAAACTGCACGAGGGGGACTGAAGCCGTCTCCACTCACACTGCTTCTGCTTTTGAAGCGTAGAAGAGCCCCATTTCAAAAGGGGGCCCTGCAGCGGGACTGCCACTTTTGAGCCTGCCGGGCTCTTGCTACCGTTCAAAGACGGAGGCGCCCTTATCGGCTAATGGAAATCCCGTCGGCTAGTCAGCGAATCTCAATGCAGCATCCCTCTTTTGGAGCAGTAAGTCGAGCGCGGCCCCAGTGGGTTGGACAGCTACTTGTACTGCCATTTCATAGTCGGGGGCAAAGGGGGGGGGCGTGTTAGTCTGTAACTAAACCAACAACAGCCATCTTGTAGCACCTTGGAGGGAACAGAAATATACACCGTGTCATGAGCTGTCGTGGGCACAGCCCCTTGCTTCAGATGAACCCACCCCTGCAAAAACCCTGGGGCCAACTCCGTCCACACACCTACACAGGCAACACCATCACAGGACCTAACCACATCAGCAGCTCACACAACTGCACATCCAGTAATGTGATCTACACCGTCAGGTGCCAGCCGTGCCCCTCAGCCCCGGACACTGGCAAACCGGACAGTCTCTGCACCGAAGGACCAATGGACGCAAGTCAGGTATTCAAGTGGCAACACAGAGACCTGCCAGGGACTGTCTCATCCGGGCACTCCCTCACGCATCTAAAAGGTGGCTAGTCTCTTAGGGTACGTCTACACTTGCACCCTAGTTTGAACTAGGGATGCAAATGCAGGCATTCGAAATAGTCAATGAAGCGGGGATTTATATATCCCGCGCTTCATTAGCATGATCTCCCTGGCATGCTAGTTTGAATCACAGGAAGTGCGTGCCGGGACGCGTTCGTTCGAACCAAACCCCTTGGTTTGAACCAAGGTTACTTCTCAAAAAAAGAGGAGGAACATTAGTTTGAACCAATGGCTTTGGTTCGAACACACACATCCCAGCGCGCACTTTCACTTTTGGAACAACTGTTGATCGGAGTAACGCGCTGGTGAGATCATGCTAAGTAAGCGGGATATTTAAATCCCCACGTCACTGACTATTTCGAATGCCTGCATTTGCATCCCTAGTTCGAACTAGGGTGCAAGTGTAAACATCCCCTTACAAAACAACGCCAGGACTCGGCGGGACTGGCCTTCATCGGCAAATCTGAGATTCTCTTGCAGGGCGTGAACAAAGACATGAACTGGATGGGCCCTTCTATTCACCAGCCAACTGCCATCAACGGCCAAGTGTCAGGCACTTACTGCCCTGCTATTAGCCTCATTTAGCACAGACACTGACTGGGTTTGCCCTTTCTGTCTCCTCCCCCTTTTCCCTCTTTCTCTGCTTTACAATTCAACCTCTCTGCCGCTTGCTCCACAGTCCTCTGAAGCAGGGGGCTGGGCCCATGACAGCTCATGACACTTTACAGATTTTGGTCAGTCTAAGGTGCTCCAGGACCACTGGGTTTGTTACGGTGTTTCACAGTAAGAACAGTTGCCTAAGGCAGTCTCTCTTGCAGGGATCCGCAAGAGCTTACCGGACAGCGGACACACTGGTCAACCAGTCGCTCCCCCCCTTGCTGCCCCCATCACAAAGAGGCAGCAAGGTGGGGGAGCTGGCTTAAAAGCTGGTTCCCCCCAGCTCCAGCTCCGTGGGCGGTTCTGAAATGTACGAGAGCCCTAGGCCCCCGCCAACCCCGGGCTCCTCGCGGCGTTCAGGGGCTCTTGTACGTGTCAAAGGCGGAATGCTGCGCTAGTCCCTATCGACGGAAATGCCATCGACTATTCGATTAGATAACGAATCGCTATTTAACATCCCTAGTCTGGAGAGGCTCATTGCACGTCTCCATAGAAACAAGGGGAAGACTAGACACTTCTAAGGCCAACAGGTAGTGGCTGCCATGGCGCCGGAGTTAACTGGCATGGCTCTGGGCAGCAGGGAATGGATTTCAGGCCTCCAGCATTTTTGCCTTGGAGCCTGGGAACCTGTAAAAAAAAAATCACTTTGGTTCAAGAGCATCTGTTGGTGCTGGGAGAGCTGGGCTCCTGTTCTCCTCTGCCCCGGGCTGCTCTGCCGAGGGGGTAACACCCTTTGGGTCAAGAGCACTGGAACTCTGGAGAGAGCTGTGGTAGCACAGGGTGGGCGCCAGGCCCACGAGGGTCTCGCTCTTCCCTGGGCCAGCTGCCCGACTCCAAGGCCTTCTCACACGGGAGCTCTGAGCCGCTCTTTGGGCGCCGCTCAGCAAGCCCGCGAGACGCTCCGGAGGGATGCATGCAGCTCCCCGAGCACTGCCGTCGCCAGCACACGGCACAGCAAAGCGGGGGCTTACTGCTTAACTGGAACCGGCGCAGCCTCGAGAACCCAGCGCTGGCCGTTCCGGCACGCCCAGAGCCCCACCAGGCTGTGGAGAATCCTTCGGCTCACGCTCGCTCTGACCTTGGTTAGACACCAGGGTAGAACCCCGGGTCCTTCCAGCAGCCAACACTGAACCTCCCCTCACACCCTGCCCGGTGGGGTGCCCAGCTTCCCTGTGAGAGGTGGGGAATCCGCATCCCTCTGGGATGTTGTTAAATGTCAATTTGCCTTCGCCTTCTTAAATGCTCATCCGACAGGGGGTCCAAAGCCCAGGCACGGCCGTGACACCCACTTCTGTCTGCTTGCTTGCCGAGAGCAGACAGCCCTTCCCCACCCACGGGCCAACAACGTAGCAGACGGGGAAACTGAGGCACAAATAGGACTCAGTTACTACACCACATGCCCACTCTGGCCCAACCGCTGGCAGTGCTGGACCCTGTCCCGGCCGACTCCAGCCACTGTGTAGGAGAAGGGAACGGAGGGCGCACGTCTGAAGTGCCCAACTAGAGGAGCCTTCCCCAACGTCCTTGCTTCTGGTGCTGGGACTGCGACGGCTCCCCCGGGTTCCCACAGCACCCGCCGAGGAGGCAGCACTTTCCTGAACACACAGGTGCTCCCGTTGGAAGGGAACAAGCTCCCCAAGGAGTGCTTACCTCCAGTTAGCATCCCCCTGTTCTCGGGCCACTGCTCTTTCCAGCAGGCACCCGCTGCCTCCTGCTGCCAGTCCGAGGCTCGGTCATCACAAGCAGGGGTACAGAGCGGGACAGAGCCATGGCAAAGCGCAAGTACCGGATTCAGACACACCCCAAAACTAGCTCAAGTTACTTCAAACAGGTCAGGTTGGACAGTGTCTACCAGTGACCCACACAGCAGCTGACTCCTAAGGAAACGGACGAGAAATCCCAGAGCTGGTCAGACAAGCTGAGCTCAGTCCGATTGAAAGGAAGCGAGGTGAGGTTCTGGGAAAACTCCAGACGGGCTCCCTCTCGGCTACAGAGTGGGCACCCCCAGGCAGGGAGGGGCGCCTGCGCTGCACCTGTATCAGTGGGAACGAGGGCCAGAGGCAAACTTTGAGCCGGAAGCCCCATCTCCTTTGGCTGCTCTGCTCCGTTGCCCTGCTCGATGAAGTGAGCAGAGGGTCGGTCACATGGAGTCAGCAGCCCTGAGTAAAGGCCTGTAACATGGAAACAGCAACAGGCCTGCAACCTAGTGAGCAAGACTTTGGTTCAGTGACCCGGCAGCCAGGAAAGAGGCTCTATTGATAAGTGTATGACAGTTAGGTCGCGCATGGACAGCCATAAGGAGGCACCGGGATCAGGACAGGCTGAGAGCCAGAGGGGAGTTGCAGAACATCTCAATAAAACATCTTGGTACCAAGTGACTCCTCAAGAACTCATGTACATCCCCACCTCGGGTCAGGGCGGGGTCGAAGCGGACAGCACACCACCCCTCCCCTCGCAGAAGGGAGGGAACTAGGTAACAGGGTGACAACCTGGTACATTAGAAGTGATGTCATTTGTTCGGACGTGTCTACAAAAGGGCACTGCAAAGGGTGAGTGTCGACCAACCTTGGGGGTGTGCACTTGTGCTGGTACATCACTACGGCTTACAGAATGCACAGTGCCTTCGCGTTGAGTCCGTCTGCTAACAACTGTTAATATAAGACACTTGGCAATAAACCTGTTCAGGTGATTTCGATCCTTATCTGATTTGCGGTCTCCCAGGAGTCGGTTGTGTAAACTCGTGCACAGGGTTAATGCTTTAGACGGGGAGCACACAAACACACCCAAAAGTCCATCCCCACTGACGGAGTAAAGGGCCTGTCAGGAACCCATTGGGACATCCTGAAACCCTGAGGCTACGTCTATACGACGAGTTTTCTCGGCACAATATGCTAATGAGGGACTCATTTGCGTGAGTCGCGATCTCATTTACACATTTTCTGCCAATCCGTTTTGGCAAAAACAAGCAGAGTGGATGTTTTCTTTTTGCGCAAAAACCCCTTTTCCCACACAATTGGTAAACCTCCTTTTTTGGGGCATACGGATCTTGCGGGAAAAGGGGTTTTTGCGCAATAAGAAAACGTTCACACTGCTTATTTGGCGCAAAAACGGAGGAGCAGAAAATATGCAAATGAGATTGACTCATGCAAACGAGTCCCTCATTAGCATATTTCTGTTGCATAGACGTAGCCCCCCCGACGACACTAGAGAGGCCCTCGCTCCACAGAAAGTTAGCCCCTCTGACTGCCCTCTCGCCCTCCGCCCCCCTGACAATAAGACGCCTCAAAGCTCCGGTGCCTGCAGGCCAGGCCAAGCCCGGGCGCGCTGCGCTGCCCTTCCAGGGAAAGCAGGCGGCAGGTGGAGGGCTCTCGCGCTGCCCTGGGTACTTACACATGTTGAGCTGTCGCACGAAGCTGGCCATGTTGTTGTGCTTGAAGTACTTTGGAAGCACCTCCTTGGCAAACTGGCCTTGGTCAAACACATGGAAGCTGTTTCCACTCTGCCAAAACACAAAAGGAAAGGCACGTGTGAGCTGCACGGCGTGGCGGCCCAGCTCCCCCTCGGCGCCAGAGCTCCAGGCTGGCCCCAGGGTGGGGCTCTCCTGGGTGACACGGCGGCTCGGCTGTCGAGAGGAGCGGCTAGCGCAGCAGCGCTTCACGCCGCTTGGGGGGAGGCAGTGGCGGCAAGAAGAGCTGCCGAGCAAGGGAGAGGACAAGTCCTCTAGGCCAGTGTTTCTCAACCTTTTCTATAAAGTACCCCTTTAAAAAAGGAGATTGCGTAAGAACCTCCAGTACCTACCCTTTTCAGACACACAACATGGTTTCCTACCATTGCAACACATTTGTTTAAACAACTTAATTGTAGCCAGGTGGGCGATGAAATTTTTGGGTGTAAAAAGTACAAAAATAATGAAGCGCTGTCAACACAAAAATTCAGTTTTCTCCAAATTTCGGTTGCGTTGCCGTACCGCCTCCCTCCTCCCCCGACTTCTCACGTACCCCTCAGCGGACTCGGACCACTGGCTGAGAAACACTGATCTAGGGCCAGCGATCCTCGTCTGCACCTTGGCATTCTCAGGGGCTGCCATCCCAGACTGTCTGCTCCGCCTCCTACACAGGAGGTCCTCGGGCGACCACAGCTGTGTGTGTAACGTTTTAGCTAGCCACTCATTCGGTAGCTGGGCGTAAGGAGACAACCAGCATCTCGCAACCAGCACAGTCTAGAGACTAGTCTGATGGCAACACTGGATTCCACTGGGGAGTACGAATGGAGGGAAATTCAGCCGGCTACAAAAATTAAACCAGTTCTTTCATTTTCTGCAACTTGTCCCAATCCACCCACTGCTCCCTCAGTTACAGCCACAGTAAACAAACATCTGGGGGGCGCGCAGAGCCCCCCCCCCCCCAGGTGGAAACCAAGCTGCTGACAAATCATTACATGGTAAAAAAGGATTAGCCTTTCTGGTTCACTCTCTGCAGCCCCATCCAAAGAGAGAGAAGGAGAGTGGGTGATTTGCCAAGCACCGATCCGTTTAGTGCAATAGCTAAATTAAAGGCTATTTTAAAGTAGACACTCCTGACTTCAAAACTAAATTAGGTTCTGTGTTGTTATGCTGGTCAGGCCACTGTTCCTTGGCAGGCCACTCCAAAGCACAGGTTGCATGCCTCACCAACCACTACCCAACAGCAAAGCCACCCACCGGCCTGTTCCAAGGACGAACAGCTGTTTGTTGCATAGCACAATTACAACTTAAAGGGTCAGTGCTGCTTAACACAGCATCAAGTCAAGCCTCAGACCAACAGCTCATGCAAGAAAAGGCATCAGCCGTTTAAAGCCCTAGCATGAACCTTCCGCACAGACCAGCAGCCAGCAGGCTGCGAGCAGCGGCGGGAGGGCCCTGCTTTCCAGAAGGCAGGCCTCATTCTGATCCTCTTGGCTTGGGCCTGTGCAACCCTGAAGGCTGCACTGGAGAGTTTGCAAGGAAGGCTTTGGGAAAACAGACTCCCAGGTAAGTTCTTCCCTGGGTCCTTTCTGTGAGGATCGATTGCCTTGCTCTTTGGAAGAGCACTCAGTCACCTCTGGGTTTGTTCTTGAGTATCTGAAAGGCAGCGGGCCAGCCCGGGGGGGCCAGGGGGTCTGTAGCGCAATCCCGTTTATTTACAAAGAGGTGCACGAAGTCCTGTTTCCTTGGACGCTGCCCGACTCCACAGAAGAGCTCCTCTGCTTAGTGCCAGGCAGTCCCTTGGCCGGTGCATTCTGCCAGCTCTTCTGGGTCTCAGGGCCACAGTGCAAGGGACCTCTGCCTGCTCCACTACTCCTGTGCGACTCTAGCGCGTCTGTAGCGCAATCCCGTTTATTTACAAAGAGGTGCACGAAGTCCTGTTTCCTTGGACGCTGCCCGACTCCACAGAAGAGCTCCTCTGCTTAGTGCCAGGCAGTCCCTTGGCCGGTGCATTCTGCCAGCTCTTCTGGGTCTCAGGGCCACAGTGCAAGGGACCTCTGCCTGCTCCACTACTCCTGTGCGACTCTAGCGCTCTGCAGCACCGCTTGCTATCCCAGCTCCATTCAAAATACCTCGTCTCCTGTGTTTGCATTCACCCCCCCCGCTCGGGCAGCTCCGCTTCTAAGCAGCCTGGCTCGCGCCCGCGTTTTAGGCAGCGGTTCCTACTGTTCCATTCTTTATTCCACAGGCGATTCATTGCTTCTCAGGTTTCTCCTGAATGAAGGGCAGCTGTTCTACCCACCAGCTTCGACAAAGTTCCCCCCAAGCCTGGCATAATGCCCTTCCGAGGGCCCAAACCCTCCGAGCGCGCACACTTGACCCTTTATCACACTGGCCACGCTCTCAGCAGGAGGACTCAGACGACGAAGCCGTGCGCCTTGCCCCGAGGAAGCTTCCAATGCAGGTGCTACCTCACCCAGAGCGAAGGGGACAGACAGGCAGGAGCGCCGGGTGAGAAACGCAAAGGGAAAGCGGGACAATATTTCCACTACTCCCAAGAAAACCTCGAACACGAACACAAGCACACACCACGAAACAGACAAGCGACTGTCAGGCTGGCTTAGAGGGGCCGCAGGCGGGGAGTTTTCAGGGGACATCTGGGTGGAAGTCGGTGGCTCTGTGGAAGAATAAGGAGAGTACCCGGAAAGTGCAAAAGGGGCCGGCAGAGACCGCACTAGAGCACGTCTAGCAACACTCACCTGGGAGGGACTGGCCGGCGGCCGGCACAGCTCACTTCAGAGGCAGGCGCTCCGGTAGGGTGGGAAGCAAAGGCCCACGCAAGGATGAGGATTACGCCATTTACTCCTGGGAAAATTCTGCACCACTGCACAAGGG